AGGTTACCTTCCTCAATTAGCAGGGTACTGTGATGAAAGTTTTGGCATTAAGGACCACAATTATGTAAAACTTTGATGATTAGTTACAACAGTACATTATAATATAAACCATGTATTTCAAAGACWTTAGTATCAAAGCTTTGCTAGGCTGTGGGCTCAGAATCTGAAACAACTGATATCTGAGCCTTCAACCTTCAGCTTCAAAATTCTATAATAACAAACAGTTGCGCAAGGACAGCAAGAGCTTGTAATATAGTGAGATGTCTTTGATACAGAAGTGATTTTTACAAAGAATGTATKGCAATTAAATTGTTATAGACAAAAAAGCAGCCCATAATCAAGTAGTCTCCTTCACATCCGTTTCAAKCCMGACACGAAAACGGATGTGAAGGAGACTAATAATCAAGCTGTCTGTATGTATTGCTGACTAAAGACTAGCGGCCATGTTGGTAATGTTGAATAAAGGGTAAACACTAAACAAATATGACTGTTTTTTTTACTAAAGTTCAACCAACATGGCTGCCATAAAATCAACCAAAAACCAGTAAAAGATCCCAAAGCACTGCATATACTAGTTAGGCTTTCAATGAGAAACAAGAACTKTGAGATATGAATTCTCCTCTTTATAGAAATCATTATGCTTTATGGCCTATTCATAGCCTCCTTGAAATGTGGTCCTTCAAAATTATACTTAATTTGACTTTGCTGTGTTGAGAGAAAATGCTGACAAAGAAAGAAAGGGGAAAAAACATTTTCATCCCTTTAGCCACATCCTGCTGAAGACCCATAGACTAAATGTCATGTTATGAAATATGTTGCTATTGGTCATCAACWGAAGACCAGAATGACTGAAAATGCACTGTATAGAGTAAGGAAATGGTTTGTCTTTAGCTTATCACTTTGTTCTCTATAAAAGCATTACTAGAAGTATTTTATTGAAWATAGTCTAACTGCTCATGATCTTCTGGCGCCTGCGCCACCAAATCAGCCAGCCATGATCCCACGTCRACAGGTTCATCAGCATATCTTAGAATAAAAGGATGGATCTGAAACAAGAAAAAAATACAAAATTACAAAAGTTTGATATCAACTACGAAAGGAACTAAATATGTAAACAAGGTGTTCTGAGGAAGTTTATCATATCAACAAAGGCAATTTCAGGCTAGAAAGTCTCAAAGATAGCATGTCAAACTTCCACTTTGCTCAGATTTTAAGCATTCATATATATTGTGAACATGCGGCTAGTTTTGTTGAACAGTTTCATTTTTAGTGCATTACCAGAAGTGAATCATATTTTGGTCTTTTTGCTACTTCTTTAGTAAGGCTAGATAAAAAAAACAAGACACTATCTCAGTAGAATATCAAAAATACATTAGCTGCAAACCATGAATAGGAACAAATATAGCATATAAAATCAAAATGTCAAAATGTTATCTCAAAGACGAAGCATAAAATGACACTAAATACACCACAACTTACCAGATATTCACAAAATTGAGCAACTCAGGAGATCGTTGTATATTTTCACTATTAACTAATCTTGGTGGGTCTCCCTCAACCACCTGGGATAACTGGTCRAATATACTGGTCCATTTAGGGTAGGGGAACTGACCAGACGCAAGCTCGATCTACCATATACCAGAAAAAATCATAAAAATACAGCTTTACATTATTTAACCATACCTTGTTCAGGCAAGTAACTCAAGCAACGCAAAGAAAAGAAATGGCTTTCTTGAAATTGCATCTGCACTTTGATGCATGCACTATTGCAGTTGCACTTGGGTTTGCTTCTTCCTTGATGGTTTCAGTTGGAGTTGAAGACCAGGACAACTCATTCTCAATAATATTATATATAATATTTTACTGAACCTTACCATGGTGATTCCAAAACTCCAGACATCAGATCTAATATCATAACCTTGTCTGCAGGAAGATGGGTCTATTCTTTCTGGCTGTAGAAGAGATTYAAGAAAGGAAATGCTAAAACCATAAATAACCATGAAATATTATATTGGTCAATTCTACCGAATTCTGTGAATTGCTTYGTTTTCTATTGTCTAATTTACACTATTTAGTGCTATGTAGCACTATTTGGTTAGGATTTTTTCACTATTTTAGAGTTTGCACTCTTATTCATAATTAACTTGCTATTATATATAAGAGATCATTATCTAGACTAATRGGCTACTTACTGCCATATATGGCTTACAACCAGCATCTCTTGTCTTTGCAATGGAGTCAACTAACTGTCCACTAATTCCAAAATCACAGAGTTTGATTCCTCCATGTTTGTCTAGCAGAATATTGGATGGTTTCACATCTAAATATTGCAAAYGTTATTGTTATTCATTAATATGTCAGACATTTAAGATTTTAATAAATTGCTTTTCACTCTCAAATGATTAATTAATACATCAAACASAAAATTGTTATGGTGCAATAATTCATAAAAAATGTCCAATTAACTCCTTAACTCACCCCTATGTATGATATTAAGTTCTTTTTTGAGGTATTCAAGGGCTTTTACAACCTACATCCACAGATAAAAGATAACATCAATATCAAAAAAGTATTCATTTTCAATAATAAATAACTTACAGCAAGAGCGACTTTACTGAGAATATCCTCAGGAATAACTTGATTAAGTGTGCCATACACGAGTCTGTAGCACTTGTCAAATGATATCTCCATTAGTTCCATACAAATCCAAGCATCTCCCTAAAAACATACTAGATCTCATTACATGTACTCTATAAAAAACAGGGAGCATCATCATCAAATTAGAGTGCATTTGATTTGTCTGTGAAATATGATCTAAATAGTTACTTATTTATCATTAATTTACTAGATACAAAAACACAACCAGAACAGTTTAAGAAAAGACAATTATTATATAAAGRAAGTGTTGTTAACTCTTGAGTCATACGTTATCTTACAGCACTCTATCATTCTTAATTTTGCACATTTTTCTTTGTTTTTTTTTCCAGACTTGTATCACACATTATAATTACATTTTGACTTTTACACTTTGYTTCATGGGGTTATGAAAACAACTCTACAAAGGAAACAATACCTTGTAACACCTTTAGTTACTTGTCAGAAATAGTCACTATTATTTAGAAACTATTTAGATTTTTTTATTTCACATATAAATGAAACACACTCTAATATAAACAGCTGAAGAAGGCTACAAGTAGAGAGTAACAGGCAGACATACTGTACGCCATGTATAATAATGTAGATACCTCAGTGAAGAGAGCACCATAGAACTGGACTATAAGAGGACATTTGCTACTTCTCATCACAACATCCAGGTCCATTAATAATTGCTTTTGATCTTTTTGGTCAACTGTTGATCGTATTCTCTGAAAAAAAAAATGAAGATAAATACATGAAAACTACCACCTTTAAGAATAAAGAGTTATGGTGCTTGGAGAGAAGGCTAGACCCTTAAAAATAAAACTGGAAAAATTAATTTCCGACCTCACTGGATTAGAACCAATTTTRAGTGAAAGATCTTAGATCTTAGAAACACACAGTCACACAATATTCAGATCTTCTTAGTTGTAACAGAAACTTTGGGATTAACAAAAATAACAATTATTGAGTAGCAAGTGAAGCTAGTTGTAATGACAGTAATTTTTTTGAACACAGTTCCATATTTGTACAAACATTTTCACTCTTTGATATTACCTTCACTGCCATAAAAGTATTGCTTGGAGGGTGGAACATTCTATTTACAGTGCCATATGCACCACGGCCAATCTCGCCATGGTCTATAAGATCATCAGCACAGTACTCATATACCTATAAATATTATTAAATATATACCGGTTGGTAAACACTTTATTGTACCCATAACAAAAAATAAGTTTGTTTATAGTACATACATCATCAGTTCCRAATGTGAGCTTTCCAACTGCTTTATGAGCTTTAAGACGTTCCCTGTCAAATATGATATTGTAGAGAATAGTCGTGATATAAGCTTACTAACTGACTTCAAAGTTAAGGTTTTTAAAACACTTGAAGTTTTATCACTTTTAAATGACAAATGGAAGGTTCAAATTTCATATCATTCTAGAGAATAGTTAGGAAGAAAAATAATTATAACCATACCATTATATCAATGATAAAGCAATAGCTATACAGCTTTATATATTCTATTTGATTTGACATTAATTTGTTTGTRTTAAAATTGTAACTTACATTTGGGCAGAATGTAGATTTTGTGGCTCTGGTTCTCGTTGTTTTACAATGAGAGTCACCTTCTTTTTATCCATTCCAGACTTAAAATCTAATTTGAGTCTTTCTCGCGAGATTTTGGTTCCTTCGTGTGGAAAAAACAAAATCATGATATTTTCGAATATATAATCGGAGYTGATTTTATGCCTCTAAACTTAATACAGATGGCAAAAAAGAAATCCTTTGATAGAGGGCAATTAATGTCTATGTGATGTTTTGGATTATGTGACAGAGAAACACAAGCTAGYGGTGTTTTCTTGGACAGTAAAGACAACTTACCTGGCGAATTCGACGCCATTACTTCGTAGAGTTTACAAAAAGGCTTGCAGATAAACGCTAAACTACACAGTTTGAGGCCAATTTTGAAAACAATATGAACTTAACTACTTCCTCAACGTGTCACTAATGGATATTCATCTGCGATATCGAAGATCTAATTGAATTTGTCCATAAAATAATAAAATCACACAGTCAAAATAAAACAACTGGTCGGACATATCCCATTTCTAACACTCAYCACTGCGCATGCTTTGACACCCAGGCCCCAGCTCATWTGTGCGGAAGGAACGCCTGGTAGAGGAAGCATTGTCTTTCAAGARAAAACAAASYGAAACTGGGAGGGATATGTTTGAATGTTTGATTATATTTAAGAATACCAAAGAAGGAAATGCCAGYTCTGTAACCGATGTAGTGTATTCTTTTAATTTCTCTCACCTTTGTCCGCTCAGGTGAAGGAACTTTGCACTTTATASACTACAAGCTGTCTCGTCTGTCAGGMAAGKWRKT